ATCCCTGTGTATGAACCTGTTTGCGTATAATATCTCAGAAGTTGTTGGGTCGTGAGGAGTCCCCATTTCTTAACTCCAAAAACTAATAACAGTGAACCGAACACAACTTGAGAAGGCCAGATGAGTGAGGGAGAGGAAAATATGTCATCCGTTGATGAACGTTTGTGAGTAACATCGGCCATATTTTGGAAAGAGCAAATAAGAATGTAGCCTCAATTTGATTTGTGTACGACTGGCTCCATAGTCGTTCACAAAGGTTGCGTGTGAGCATCTTCGTGCGGTGTTTGATCAACCAATGTCAGATCAAATAACGGCTTTAAAGAAGAAAAGTACTCAGCGACTCTATATAGCCACCCTGGTAGAGGAGCATTTAATAAATACGTAGATAGACCGCACATAAAACCAATCACTTTAATTACGCATTGTGATCACTTGGGCAAACCAACACGATGAGAATAAAGCTGCCTAAATGCTTACTAAGATCTTTCATTTACAACCTCCACCGCAGAATTCGTGAGTACCATCTTCTCTTAGTGTAACTATTTCAACTGCTCTGATAGGGTAAGAAGCCAGTTTACACATTTCTTCCCAGACTCACAGAGCCAAGCCAGGCAGAAAATTTTAATTAGAAATCATGCAACTGGTGGTCAGCACAATGATTCTCAGAACCATTTGAAACTTCAGTGAATTCTGGATCTAAGACTGTATCACTACCTCTTCAAAGGGTCAGAATCCGTTTTCGGAATGGGTTGCTTTGAGCCTCGGCTTGGGTCACTGAGTATTAAAAAAGCATAAAGCTTGGAAAAGTCAATCGCATCAGTGGGAAGAATGCATTCTGATATTGTAAATTGGTTCATTTCGGAGGCATAGTTTGTAGTGGGGAGTGGGGGAAGGGAGTGTCGGATAATTGTGAAAGAGGATTAAATTCAATATCCCGATAAAACTGAAGATGTGATTTGTGGCTTTTGAAACAGGACTAATCTTGTGCCTCGGAACTACTGGTTATACTTTCCACATTCCCTGACAATCACAGAAAGACAGTTCAGCATTTCATTCAACGTTTTCAGTCACCTGCTCGATAAATATATTTATTGAATGTAGGCACAGTAGGCCAGATATATGGGACCTGCTAATTCAGCCATCGTGCAAACACGTACACACTATATTGGTTTGTATCATGAATTGCTACAGTTTCTCATTATCTCTTCTTGATAAGACCAACGCATTGACTTCGATCACTACCTTGCAAACTATCCATTAGACTGATTTCTACTGGTGCAGTTCATCATCATATAATTTATAGTGTATATATATGAAACTATTATGAACGGCATTTCTTTACAACCTGTTTATTAAGTGAGGCACTTTTCACACCGGTTCGATCTTCCCCATGATCTGATCCAGCACATGAGTGGTTATTGTGTTATTTGATTGCACCGTATTTGTACCCTATGCGCCAGAAATATGCAATAACCGATTGACAATAATCTGCCCCTGTTTTGTTCTCGTTGAGACCCATTAGCAGTGCATGCTATTTTTGTACCCCTGTTGGGACTTGAATCAACTAATTTGTTGGTCGTCCAGGATCTAGCTGAGCAGCAGTAAGGGTTTCGGCTCCCACCCTGCAGGGTTCCGATTTGAGTTCGTCCAGGGACAAAAATATCATACATTACTGACGAGTCCCAAGAACAACAAAACCGTTATTTAGTGTTCTGTGCTGGTCATCACTTAGAATTATATCACCAATGAAATGTAATAAATATGGGGAGTAACTGAACTCACAATGAGTGAGACCACGTGGAAGCATCAATACGTAGATCCTGGTATTTCTGAATTCACATGAGGCATCAGCTTCTTTAATCGATGGACAGAGCCGTATCACTCAAATCATGTTATTCCTGCAGTCCTGGTCGAAAATGGTCAATTGATATTGATACAGGTTTTGACATGATCAAATCAGAAACCAGTATATCTCTGTTTGTCTACATTTACCCTACCGGGACAAGAAGGTTTGGAGTTTGATAAATGGATCTACATATTTCGGTTTGAAGCAGATTTTGCCTACCATGGCTGAATCTGGTTTTTGAATAGGCTCACTGATCAATGGAGTGATTGCAACAGGTGATTCAAATACGGACTTGTATATCATTTGTGTGAAGTATGTAGATTGAAAGCATTTAAGGTTGATCAGATCCTCCAGATTGGGAGTCGAACCCGGAAAACGTAGGTTAAAGTAGAGGATTTTTATGCAAACGCACACGCAACCAAGTGTTTGAAATCAGAATGAATATGAAGTGTATTCGCTTAAATTAGTGTGCCGAAAATATGCAGGTCCAGCTAAAACTGTTTCTACAACAAACTTCATGTGCTTGGAAATGTTGTGAGTGACTGTTTTAGTGAGAGGAAATGACGAGAGTGGGAACATAAGTTTCACGAGGGGAAGGAATCCAAAATGATGACCAGTAAGATGAAATCACTTGATTGTAAAATAAAAACCACTTTTTGTGACCTTGTTTCTAAAATGCATTATGTTCTCCGTGTTCAATCGGCATCTAACTGCCCTGTATTAGGTCGTCAGCTAGGTGCACAAAGTAAATTAGAATTATTTGAATAATAAATAGGCCCAACTGAGCATTAATTATGATTGGGAAGTATTTGGTTTTCTGATCACCCACCCAAAACGGCTGGAAACTCGTATCTAAGTGAATAAGATTCCGTATGAACAAAGTACAGCGAAATTTCAAGATTTTGCATTTAAATGGATTCGAAGTGCGTCACAAACCTCCAAAAAGTAGTCAGCTAAGCATAATGGGGAAATATAAGCATTGCAGTGACTAATCACACGGTGATTACTCAGGAATTGGGCTTAAAGTGAAACAAGAATACACCTATGGGAGTAGTAGAGTAGGTTAACGTAGCGTTTCCCAAGTGGTTCCTGTAATTATTGATGAGTGTAATGAATTCTCCTGGCGATTGGGCTGATAGATCGACCCGGTGTGACGAAAACAAGCTCACACCTTTGCAAGTTCACCGTCGACGTTATCGAATTGCCACTTTTTCTGCCGGGAAATTATATTCTTTTTGTATGGGTTTATCTCTGAGAATAATATCCAGACGATATGACAAACGTCCAATTGGTATAATTGGTAGGCACCTGCCCGAAATACAGTCTCCGTAAATGGCTACTGTCCATTTGCTTCAATGATTCCGCGGGTAGCCACGATACATTTCAATAATTCTTATAGATTTTGATTGATTGCTTAGAACTGGCCATCATTTCGACTTCACCTTTACGCACATTTTTCACCTTTTCCAGTCAACCATACACTCGGGAGCACTAGACTCGAGTTTTGATCAAATTAGAGTGTATCAGAAATGCATATCCACCCTGCTGTCCGAGATTTGAACCCTGAACCCATTACGTGGAAGGTGTTTGTGTTACCACAGTATCAACCAGCTCATACCAGGCCTGCACCGAATTGATAATTCATGTTCGTTCAGGTGTCGTCAAAAGAGATAGCCATTCGATTCCATTTGACCCGACAGCAGCAAAGAAAAACGCAGCTGACTACGTGTTACCTCCAATCGAAAGCCTACAACCAAGTCAGGTCTTCCATGCAGGTTACGGGCTAATCGGCCCTAAATCTACTAAACCGGATTGATGTATAGTGGAAATTTCTTCCAAATCCAAAATCCCTCTTCGAATGAAATTATCTTCTGGAGAGTTCAACTAATTTTTAAAGAATTTTCGTGATGCGCAGGAATAATAACCGTTTTTATGATAATAATGAAAGTAAAAAGAATAACCAAGGTACAACAACTGTGATGATATTATAATTCTCTGATGAGGAACGTAAGTCCGGTCAAATTCAAAAGCCCTCCAGACGAATCCAAAGCAAGAAAGGAAGCAGCTTCTGCAAGACTGCTTGCCGATTGCGACTAATTGAAACTAATTATTTAAAAAGGTCAAATCATTTAATAATGTTATTTCGTCAACAGTCCTAAAAGTATTGTCGTGTGAAAAAGGACAAACATACTTGCTCTGCTGTTTACAATCCTTAGGTTAGAGCTATGATTCCGCAAAAGTGTCACAGAAGGAGTACGATGTAAGCAAATCGCTTATTTTAGTCATCAGCTAGTAGTTGCAAACCTATTTTAGGTCAAATCGGGTCGCTGGTTTTTCATTGTACCCCTTGATCACTGATAGCTACAGGGGGCAGAAAATAACCGGGTTATTGTTCGGTTTATTGCTGTTGGTGCCCATTCACTCGAATCGCCCGGGTTTGTGTTCACACCCGGATAGTGAGTCTTCACGACTAGGCGGTTCAATTCATCTCCTGACCAGCTCATATCGATGTGTCAACAGTGCGGTTGGTGGTACAGAAGTCATCTTCGATAGTCCGTGTATTTTGTTCAGACTTTCTGCCTTTCAGTTGATCGGGTAATTATTGTATGAATGTGTCCTATCAACAAAGCTCAAAAAGCATACAGTTTCTCCCAGATTCTCACTTTGGTTTGTTCTTTTGTGCACCATCGATTATTCTACGTGTTAGCAACAAATTTTCTGAATTTTATGTTTATTATATTTAAAGGCATATACTATATTTCTTGTGTTGCCTATATGGCCTGAGAAACCTGGTAGTTTGCGCCCACAGGCAAATCAAGGAACTTTACATTTCCATTTGGATTATTATACTGTGATTCGTTCGACACAGTCTGAACTTAGACATGTGATAAAAAATCTATTCCAAACTGTTTTGAAGAGATTTCCTTATTCGTTTGGTATTAAGCATTACCGTTTGGTTCATTAGACATATCCACTCTGTTTAGTAGTCACCACAGTCACCAACTATCTTATCGCCTTCGTAGTCGATCAACCTTTATTGTAAAGCTTTACTCAAGTTTAAAAATTTAAGATCTCTTCTTTACGTGTTTCACTCAATGATTTATGACATATTTACTTTTCCGCCCATTAAATCAGAATCTCGGCTCCGTGAATCATGTCTGTATTTACGCACAAGCGTAGCAAGCTCATTCCCGGACGTATTTTCGGCAAACGCTCAAATTCGGCCAAACAGTCCCCGGTGCAACCGCAAGAGCGAAAATTGAAGCCTTGCTTTTCCTGTGATTGTCCATCCGGAAAGTTGTCCGGTCCAACTAGCTGGGAGATGGAAGGTTCCACAGAGGATGAACTGATTTTCATCTTCCCCGATCGACCACGACTTGTGGCTTCTCAGTCAGATCCAGAGGACGACAAACAAAATTTGATTATGTATAATCCACCCCGTGCTCCAGCGGACAGGTATCCACCCGAAACGGACCGTTTGGATAGACCCAGTCAAGCTGTACGGCGTATTTGTGGACGCGTGGTCAGTCCGCAAGAGTTCAGAGATAACATGAATGAAAGATCTCGACTGACTGAGCCGATCACAACACAAATGCGATTGATGCGAACGCAGAACGTTTGGTGTATTCCGGATCTCAGTAGATCAGAAACGGAACATCTGTTGGCGCCCGCAGATCCAGGAGTGAGTTTGGGTAAATTGAGAAATGGTTTCGTGGGGGGGGGGGGCGGTTGGACTTATCTGATTCTGCAAGAAGTACAGCAAGATTAGGGTTCAGTCCATATAAGTAATATTTTTACGGTCTCTGTCCATGTGTCACGAGGATGATCCAACAAACCCAGTTACAGCTTTTTGTGACATTATTAAATACTTATTCTCCTGCAGTCGAATAATGACTACTAAGTAGTAGGAAGTATCAATACGGGTCGTTGTGTGTGCATGCGTGCGTGAGATAAAATACTGTTAGCTGAAAAATCGAGAACCCTATGTCACAGGGAAAAATCGGACTAATGGCTAATAGATTCGTATTCACAACTGCAAAATAAAGGCGAACCACATGCGTACACACACCATGAGATAAAGTTATAAAAAAGTTTATAGTAAGACCTGAGTGATGCAAACAGAGTTTTTTAATTTGCCAAAATAATTTTCCTTTGATTCATTTGAATCAACCAAGTAATTTATTAAGAACAGACGTTTATAAAGGCCACCAATTCTGCGTGCTCTTAGTTGTCTGTTTACGCACATTAGATAGGCTGAAATGTTATAAGAAGAATACCGTTTATGCACATGCAGATAATTACGTTGTTTCCAGCTGCAAACATTTGGGTTTTTGACTCATTGGAAAAGGCATTTCAAGATTTGTGAACCAGGAGGAGGATAGCGATTACAAAGAGTGACGAGAAGGAGGTATTAACATACAGACAGTTATATAATGGAAAATAATTAACCGTGGAGGACTGAGAGTTAAAAAAGGGTAACCTGACACAAAGTTTAAAGAACAGAACATTCGAAAAAAATGGAAATTAATCAAAACGACTATACAGATGTCGATCAAACTCGTACAACATCACTCTCAATTTGGAAATTCATTTCAGTCTCCATTATCATAATTGTACATTGGCTATTATGGATAAAGTGCATTTATTTATGATTTTATCGCTCACTTCCACGATATTAGTTCTCTTCTACCACCGTTTGAATTTGCGAGACCTTGAGTGTTGCGATAAAAATTTTAGTAGTTCGTCAGTTGCGACTGAGATTTCGAAAATATTGTACGCAAAGCAGCATGAGAATTCATTCATTTAATGGATGATTTCTGTTTCATGAGTTTTTATTAAGTTGAGCACACATGTTCTAAATCAGTTATCTCTTTTAATCAAGTGCACAGTAACTAAAAAAATTAATGAAAATATACTAGGTTTAATAAATTGATAGACTATTTGGCTACCAACTACTCACGCACTATCCTTAATACTGAAACAACTGAAAATATAGTCCAAGAAACATATAAGTTGATCTTCTGAAGAGGTCCACCTCAATTTAGAATTCATCAAACTACCGCGCAGCTGCTGGGATTTTAATTTATTCGAAAATTTTTCCCTGTATCAGAAGCAGGGATAAGTTAGCTGGCTCGAAGTTGGTCACCAGTGGTAATGGTGTGTGGTGTATTAGCGGAAGCTTGCAAATTCTGTTTAGCAATCAGCTTGGTGTACTCCATGCTGAAACGATTGCCTCCAGTGCTCAGAAGTGAAAAAGGGCAAATGGAACATGAACGAGATTAAAGTACAATACCTGTATCAAGTCTATGAGTCATTTTTTTAAATTAATTCTAGTTAAGTTTTCTACTGTGGTTTGCTATTTTACAAATGATGCAACAGAAAACATCGTCAAAATCGCGAAATCGTACATTTAAATGGCATGTGGCTAATAGAAACAAAAACATAAGTAGGTATTATTACGAATATAATAAGTCTGATGTGCGACAATATCATATTCAAACCCATGAATGAGGCTGGGAAAACGAAGCACTGAGAGGAACAAATAAAATGAATAAATAATAAATAAGATGATGTTGCACAAGTTTGGTGAATACTTGCGGAAAAGTAACAAAATAGAAAACTGGTCAAGTAACGGGGTCAAAAGAGTCGCGTAACATGGAACCAAGAAGGATGGCGAGCAACGATGGGGAACAGCTGAAATGAGGGAACTGGAGCGGAGGAGACTGTACACAATAATTACCATGGCAATTACAACTGCATCAGGAAGACCTTTTGCAGTGGAGACAGCTGATTGAGAGCACGCGGAATTCATGGTCAATAAAAATTCTGTTCAGATTATCTTACTCGTTTTATTCGAAGTTTTTTTATTAATCACTTGGCACCCCATTTGATTATCAGGAATAATTGCTCATCATTTCCGCCCGGTTTGGCGATCTTGAAGCTTTCAATATTTTTACCTTGAGTCATTCAACATCAAATCGGATTACAGACCGGCGATCTAGCATACCATAGTATGTATTGAAAGCACCGAGACAGTTTGTATAGCTTGACGTTATGGTGTCCGTGTTGTGGACGCTATCGTCTTGGAGGAAAACCTTTATTCTTTGATTCAGTATGGGCGAAAATCCGTTTTCCTATATTCTTGAGTACTATAAACTACTTCAGGTTTCATGCATGATGAGCGTAGAGAAAGATTCCCTCGGAAAGATAGGCTTCATGTTAGCCTTTCGTTTATCTTAGAAAGTCTACCCGAGAGATGATAACATTCATCAATTTCCTTGCATCGTCCCCCCCCTTAAGATCGTAGGTGTTGGTTTATTTATTTATTTTGATATCCAAACTGATTGAACTTTGATAAACGAGAAGTCAAATAAATAACTTGCTCCTCAAACCTATTTAGTTAAAAGCGAAGGACAAAAATTGCGCAAGTCCAGTCTACGAATGTTCAAGGAAATTCAGTGAATACCACTCAAAAAACTCCTGTCGTCTGACTGCATTTCTCTTCACTTTGAGAACATGGTTCGAGGCGATTTGTCAAATTATATTCACAATTTATTCCGGCAAGCGGAACCAGCTTTATATGATTGTCGTCACACACTCCCTGGGTTTGAGTCACACTTCACAAACGAATAGCACGAACTCAAACCCTTCCAAATAATGCAATTTCACGTAACACTTTAAACTTACTTTTGGATGTGAATCACCGTAGCTTTTGGAAATAATACTAAATTTTCACAGTAGATTAGTTTTTCTGAAGTGACGCTACATTGTGTGTGGGGAGCTCTGTGCATCCATCAAAATTATCGCACTAGACCTTTCCAAGAAAAAGTACTTTGTCACGCAGATTGGTTTTGTATTGCGAAACGTTGTGCGTATGGCTAAGGAGTATTTGACAAGAGAAACATGTATATGCAGTGTGAATTCAAGTATTTTTTCCGGCAGACATGTCAATCAGTTCTTATTCACATTGTATTAGATAGCCCACATTGTCTACCAAGTCGATTGTGTGCAATTTTGAGGAAAGGTTGAAAGCCAAACTCTTAAACATCTGAGGTAGAATCCTGGTGAGAAGTCAAACAAACATTAAGGAGTCAATCATAGTTTGAAAGTGTCTGTTAAAACGAGCGACAACATATGATGATGATGGCGTGAAGTGTGGAGCCCACCTAACCCCGGTGAGATTCATTTTGGATACGACATCCTTCGCACCAGGGTTCGAGTCACATTGTATTAGATTCAGTGCTGGTAAAATAGTTCTGACACGCTTCACCTACGAGCTATGCACAAGTCCCAATAAAATTCAGCGCCAATTAACTCACCGAGTTTACATGATAGTTACAGCAAGAATAAGCAAGGTTGTGTGATTTCCACAAATAAATACTAGAACACGACAAATGATGGAAGGTCTCAAGAGTATGTATAAAACCAAGCTCTTCAAATGAATAACTTGTTTACTCACCATCAAGGTCTTCTGGATGGTCACAATCCGCAGGTTAAGAGTTTATGTTTTATTCGGTGAGGGCTTTGTGAGCTTACGTGTTGTACTTTGTTCGCCGATTCCTAGAGCAACACATATTTGTCCCCGCAGTGTGCCATCTATAGTATGATGATTCGAAATACCACTTCCACCGGTTAGAAATATGACCCGCTGTTCCTCATGGGTTTACTGGGATTTAACCTTAAATCAAAATTTCATAGTGCATCAGTCAGGAAAATACAAACTAGCTGAGTATACACTCAAACATTGATCATCCTGATCTCCGGCCTGCAACACATGCCTCCATCCGGATTACAGCGGCTGAAACCTACGCGTTCAGTGATGTTAGTCACGTGATTTTGCGTTTGTATTTAGTGCAGTTATTCGCTGAGGCTCTCCAATTCAGTCGGATGTTGTGTGTCAACAGACTGAGTTAATCTATTCGGGTGGCGACCAGCTACTGTCTAAGAGATTCGCGAGCAGAATTCTGTTATCAGCACATTAACTTAAAAGTAAATGAGAATATTGGACCATCAAGAGTGCCTGGTGCCTCTGAACAATCGAATGGGCTAACCCAAGCTCGAATACTCTATAAATAAGAATCCTGTTTCTAAGCCACCGATTATTTTTTTAATTTGGGTCAGTAATGAGCAATACAGAGCAAACTATAATGAACAGTGTTAATATAAGATGAGCTCAGGTATTATCTATTACGGTTGTGGGTTTCACTCCTCTAGGTTCATTAATCCCCCACCTGCTGGGTATCTCTCTTTACAAAGAAGTTATTGCATGATGGCTAACAGAGACTGTCCGACTGCTGTTTCATCTTGTTACGAACTACAGTCATTTGCTGCTCAGATTGATGGAAATTAATTACTTTACAACCAAATTTTTATTTTCATATTCACTCCGTGTTTCTTTGTGCGTACTGACTGATTTGTTGTGGGTATTATTAAGCAAAAGTCAATTCTGTTAGGAAAAAAATATGAAAATAAATTGAACCAATTTTTATCTCATTTTGATCGAATGCGTTTTTCACGTATTTCCCATTAAAAATTTAGGTTTTTTATAATGCCCGCTTTACACCTGTTCAAGTTTTGTTAGTCGTTTACCAATAAACCGTTCAGCTGTTATTACTGTTCCTTGGTTTTAAGCCATTCCGGTAAGGTCCGGTGCCACTACTCAAGTTGCTCGTTCGAACAAAGACAAAAATTGACTCAAATCACTATCTTATCATAGTTATTAGCCAGGTATAGTATGTTTCTAACCAAACCGTAATTCATTGAGGCTAA